TACTCAGCAATAGAAACTCTTAGATTCTCCACTGAGTCAAATATCATGCCTACCTTGAATGAAGGATTGGACATATCCTCTGCCCTGAAACTCTAGAACTTCAGCTGGCCTTCATCACCATCTTCTTCAATTTCTAGACCTTCAACTTCACTAGAAGCATCATCTTCATGTCCCATCATTATGCTACCCTGAGACTTCTTGGCTCTTATAATCTTGTTCCCTCTTGCTGCTCCTTGATCTACCACATCATCATCCACATTATCCTAGAAAAGGTCATCATCTCTATCCACTATCTCATTCTCACTATCCAAGAAGTTCATCATTAGTATCTTCCTCACTTGAGTTGCCTGCACCTTCCCCAACATATCTAGCTTCCTACTGAGCATCCTTGGACTTCTTTCGATCCTTATAGAAGTTAGTGAGCCTCTCACCATGCTGTACTTCAATGTGTTGAACCTTGGCAGGGCTGAACACCTTAGGGAGCTGTGAAATTGGGTTGGAAACAACATCATCCCGGCTGATTCTAGCAAGAGTGTCCTCATGATCAATGTACACAGGCAGGTTCTTCAATCTATCAACAACTGAGCACATAACATTAGTGTCTCCTTCAGTTAAAATAATTCTGAGACCATCAGCCAGCTCCTTGCCTAGTAATAATCAATAAATTTTCATCATTGGTGTCTTTGTATACCCCAGCTCTTCTATGAAATCCTCCAACCAGAGTGGTGACCAAGTGTCAACCTCATAGTGATCAAACCATGACAACTTCTCATCCACATATGTTCCTAAGATGACCAAATCCAATAAATAAACCTCCATGATGAAGCTCTATGGCGAACTCATCAGCAGCATCACCTACACAAATCATTGTGTACAGAGCATCAGAGACTCTAACACAACAACCAGGAAGCATGACCCAAAAATGAGAAATTTCAGCTCATCGACTATGCAATGATACCTAATCCGTGTGCATCTCAATCATCCATACACGATTAATGCACTAATACAATAGAAAACCCCAAAGTCCCTATCAGAAAATCCACAAACCCTACCATTCACATCTAAGTCCCAACACCCTACCTACCAAAACTAACTTGATATCCGTGTCCACATAGTGCTATGGCAAATGCACGCTAATGTAGACACACTTGCATAATCCAAAGTCAGGTGATTTAACCATAGTTCGGCGCCTCTTCTCCCTTCCGCCACAATCTTGGTGCCATCGATGCCTGTGTCTAGCCCCGCATGCCGGGAACGCTAGTGTCTAGTGACTGTGACGACAATGCGTCTCCGATCATGCCAACACCTCCTCGCCGTCCATCGCAGATGATCACCAACACCCACCAATGGAATGGGGGAGAAGGCAGGTGCGCGGGGCATGGGCCAAAAACCCCACCGATCAGCGGTCCACGCTGCGTGAGCATGCTGGCTCCATTGTGGACACCTCATGGCATGCCACATCACCTAACGGGTTGGGTTTAGACCCGATTGGATGTGTGATGGGACCCAAACACTACTACACAAATGATTTTGCGAGGCACTACCCAAAGATTAACCGTGGCTATCACAAAATCCATCCGCCTCATAAAATGCCTGAGGATTTACCAGGGCGGACGTTTTTATTTACGAAGGCGGTCACAGTTGACCGTCTCACAAAATACATTTACCGAGGCAGACATTTTATTTACCGAGGTGGTCACAAATGCCCGCCTCGGTAAATCATTTACGGAGGTGGATATTTATAAGGTGTCCACCTCCGTAAATCAGGCACAGCTCGCAAACCTACACTAGCCTACTACCATCCCCATTATATAAAGATGGGACTTAGGGTGTGAGCCACAAAAATCTCAGACTCTCTCTCCTCTTGCTTCTCTCTCTCGGCGGCCCCTCCAGCGCGGTGCCCTCTCCTCCTGCTCGGCGCCCTCCTCCCTCCGTCGCGGTGCCTTCTCTCCTCCCTCCGGCGCCCTCTTCCTCTCTCTCTCTCTCTCTCTCTCTCTCTGTGTGTGTGTGTGTGTGTGTGTGTGTGTGTCACCCGACAACGGCGTCGTACCTCTCGGTGGATCTTGGACGGTGGTGGTGAGCGGGGTGGCGCAGATCCAGGGCGGGGCGGTGCAGTTTCAGGGCTGGGAGGAGTAGATCTAGGGCAGGGCGCGCGCAGATCGAGGGCAGGGCGGCCCCCATCCGCAGCTGCGCGCCAGGTCGCCCACACCCGTGGCGCGGCGAGCAGTCTAAATTTCTAAAATCAGAAGACCAACTTACTGATTCACTAGAACGATCTTTAAACTCTGAGTGTTCAGAGCATTGATGTTTGACATGAATATATTTTTTTCCAAAACAATAAACTCTGAATGTATTTAGGCCCTAACCCTGCAGATCAAATGGCAGAAGACAATAAGTGGTGTGGCGGGCCGACACCAGATCCTGGGTGGATTTGATAGTCACCAGTTACCACCACTGCAGCTGCTCGTTACAAACTACTCCCTCCGATCCCAAAGTGTCGCTATGATATTCGTGCTGGTTAAACATTCTTAAGTTTGACTAGGTTTGTGGAAAATATTAACAACATTTGTATCTCTAAATAAGTTTATTATGAAAATAGATTCAACGATGTATCGAACCATACTAATTATGTGATATAGATATTAATATTTATATATATTTGGTCAAAGTTAAAAGAGTTTGACTTCTCTAGAAGCGAGAATGACACTTATTTAGAGACAAAGAAAGTAGTTTTTTTTCTGCTGATAGCTAATAATTGTTGCAATTAGCATTTCTCTTCCCTTTGTCGTTCTTTTGCATTGACATTGGATTGTATTGGCACAATAGAGTGTAGACAGGAGAGGAGCTGAAAAAGAGGAAAGGCAAGGGATCAGAGAGGTGCAAGTATTGTGATAAGCTCGAGACCAGAGTTCACTTGTTTTTTTAACTGTAACACATTGCCCAGATGATCTAGGTTTGGGTTAGAGTGAGTCTAAGGTGGTGTGAAAGACCAACCTCTGTCCAACACTTACACGATAGATGGGGATTGGCCAGGACTCCTTTGGGGATAATCATATTGTTATTGTCTTAGCCAGTGTAGTCTGGAACCTGTGGAAAACTAGGAATAACTGGGTCTTTAACAACCATTTGATTAAGTCGCCTAAAGCAATTGCTTATAAGGTTTTGGGTTTCTTAACACAGTAGAAGAGGTTGCTGAAGCCGAAGGAAAGCCTCGAGATGGAGGACACGATCAAGAAGCTGCAGGAAGGCTTGAAGATGTGGTGAAAATGGTCTGCTGAATGGAGATCTGCGAGGGCGACTACGTATGGAAGATCTTCTTGAAGCTGAAGGAGTTTTTGTTGGTGACTCAGAACTTTATAAGTCTGTCTATCGAAGGAGGTTTTAAATATCGGCATGGTGGAATAGAGTGGTGATAAATTTCAGTTGACTAGAGGTGTGACATTCTAAAGATAGTAGACTAGAAGTAGAAGCCTAGCCTAATTTCTACTGCATTCCCTCGCTTTTCTTTTGGGCTTATGAGTTATTGATGTATCGGTAATGCTTCCAGGAGGGCGTCCGGACGATCGGATGTTGTCTGCCTGGGCCTGAGCAGAGGACCGGCCCAACAAGCAACCGGTCTGCTCCCCTACTACTCCATCTCTGCGACCGATAACTTCCCCTCTTCGCCCATCGCGGTGTTCACCGCGCTGTCCGCCTCTCTGCATCCACGTCACGGCGTCCACTCATGACCGTGCCAGGCGGCGCGAAATCCAGACCACCATAGATCCCCTCTCATCCAAGCTTCCAGCTCTAGCACCCACCCGCCCTCTATGTCATCGTCACTGCCGCGCCCTACCTCATCCACCGAAGCGACCTACCGCGGCCTGCTCCTGCCGCTGCTCCGCGCGCCCGCCTTGCTACTCCTGTTCCGCCGCCTGCCCTGCCCGACGATGTCAATAGGCGCTGCCAGCGCAAGGAGAAGCTCTAGGCCCTGGCATAGAATCCCATCCGGCCTTGCATCCTGCTACGGTTGCGGCGCCCCGATACAGACGGTGGAGGAGGCCGCACTGAGATATGATGCATGTTACAAGTGTACATTTCAAATGTTTCAGGTGTTTTAGAGGTATGTTTCAAGTGTCTCACACGGATGTTGAAAAAGTTGATCAAGATGTGGCATATGTTGCAATGGTTATACACATATGTTGCAAGTGTTTGTCCCTAATGTTTCATTTGTTTTTTCAGACGTATGTTGCAAGCGTATTTATCTGAATGTTGTGTTTCACACATATGTTGTAAATGTTTTATCTGGATGTTGCGTATATTTGAAATGGCTTTCAATTGTTTTTGTAAGTGTTTCAGATGCATGTTTCAAGTGTTTCATCTGTCTTTTTTGTATGTTACAAGTGATGCATCTAAATGTTTCAAAAGTAGATCGGGTGTTACACATGGGATGAGCGTGGGAAGCGGGAGGGGGCGCGAGCGGGCGTTCGTCCGGACATCCGGGCGCTAACATTGCTGTTGATGTATCCTAGCTGCTTATTTTTATCCTCGCTGTGCTCTATATGTATATTATGCCGAACCTTGTAAGCTGGTATCCCCAGTAGTTACATGGTTGCTTTCAATATAAGCTGCGCCATGGCTTTGGTCTAATAAAATTTCTTTTCAGAGATGGACAAGTCGGGCAAGATCCAGATGCTAGTTGGGGCATTCACAAAATAGGTACACTTCCACACGAGGTAACCCCATTAATTTCCACAAAATAGGTACACCTTGAAACTTTGTTTTCAGTTAATCGGGATAGGACTTCTCAACTTCTTACCCTGAGGCATAAATAGAGCCAGATTTTCATGCTCGTTACTCGAAGTGAAGTTTGGCCCATTTAGGCGAATTTTGTTGAGGCGGTGTAAACTACACTACAGATATTGTATTATTGTGCATAAACTTAAACTAATCAATGCCCTGGCCTCATATATCTGTTTAATTTCCATCACCAGTCCCATGGCGTTTGAGATAGTAATGTATCATGCATGTGGTTTGGGGACAAGGATGAGCGTCTCCTTCCGGTGGACCGTCAATCCAAACACCTCGGTCATATCAATGTCCTCCTCCACGCCGGCCGGCAGCTTCCAGTCAAAACAATACACGAGGTTTGCCAGCATGATGTTGATCGTAGCCAACCCAAAGTTGATACCAGGGCACATCCTCCGGCCCGCCCCGAACGGCGTAAACTGGAAGTCATTTCCCTTGAAGTCCAGGTCCGTGGCGGCGCCACCATCCACGAATCTCTCCGGCACGAACTCCTCCGGGTTCTCCCATGACCTTGGGTCTCTAGAGATAGCCCACACGTTGATGATGACCCTCGTTCCGGAGGGTATCGTGTAGCCGTCGACGTCGCAGTCCGCCATGGATTGGTGGGGCACGAGGAGCGGAGCAGGTGGGTGTAGCCTTAGCGTCTCCATCACGACGGCTCTCAGATAGGGCATGTCTGCTAGGTCCTCTTCCCTGACCATTTCTTGCCCCTTCGGTGTCTTCTTCCTCACCTCGGCTTGTAGCTTGGTCATGAGATGAGGGCTGCGCATGAGCTCGGCCATGGCCGCTTCCAAAACTGAAGATGATGTGGCCGTGCCCGCCTCGAACATGTCCTATAGATATGCGTCATTTAATTAGGTAGATCAATTGAAAAAAAAATCTAGCTGGCTAGTCACTCACCATCAAGATGGCCTTGATATGATCTCTGGTGATATTGTACTCTTGTTGAACAGAGAGCATCACATCGGTGAAGTCTGTGCTCTCTTCTTACTCATCATCGCCCTCACCATGCCCGTTCTTGGAGGTCCGGCGCCTTCTCTCGTGGTCGCTTATGATCTCCTCAAGCAAGTCGTCCCATCTTTTGTGTACCTGGTGCACCTTCCTGTTGCTCACAAAGACACCTAGCGACTTTGCAAGCCCTGGGAAATAGCTTTCCAGATTGAATCCTGCCAGCAGAACAGTGGTGGTGTGATTCAGCTCGCGGAAGAGCTTGTTCCGGCCTTCTTCCCTGGAGAACTTGCCACATACAGCACGGCAGATGATGTCGTTGGCGAACGCGTTCATCATCTCACTCAGATCCACCTCCGCGTCCATGGCCGCTGCCTCCCTGAGCTTGTCCAGCACTAGGCGCACCTGTTATCATATATGAATAATTAAATAATAAATGTTTGAGGGATGAAAACGAACGTAAATATAGAAAATGAAAATGGTCGGTACGGGATTTTTCTGCATTTTATTAATTATAAAGAGTACAAAAAAATGGTTGCGAAGCCAATTGAAAATGACAAATTTTTAAGTTTAGCTAAATTTTGAAATGGTATCGTAATATAGAAAACGATATCGTAATATAGAAAATAGAAACGGTCCTGTCCGTTTTCAAAACGAGTGCATATATATGCATGCATAATGAACAGTGAGCAAATAATTGTTACCTCTTCCTGGCGGGCATGGTGGTACGAGTTCACCTTCTTGACGGTGAGCAGGTGCGTGGTGACGAGCTTCCTGACCTGCCCCCAGTGCTCGCCATAGGGGGCGAAGGCGACGTTGGAGGACCTGTACACGAGGTCGTCGAACAGCAACGACGCCGACCGCAAGGCGAAGACGTGGCCTTTGCCTACGCCGCGTGTGCGGAGGAAACGACGAGGTCCCACTACCCCAGATTTGAACATCACTGTCGGCCTCATCACTGTTGGATTTGTGACAACCGGCACTGATGTACCTTCACCGCCAGTTATGAGCTTGAAAATAAGAAAATGATTGGGGCTGGGCTAAAACCGGCAGTGAAGGACCACATTACTGTTGGTTTACGGCTTGAACCGACAGTGTTTTGGCGGCCACCCATCACTGTCGGTTTAAGCCAAGAGCCGACAATGATTTGGATCTATCACTGTCGGTTCTAGCTAAGAACCGACGGTGATAAGCCTACACCACAAAAAGGCTTCAACCGTTCTCTTCTTCCTCCTCTCTTTCGTCTCGAGAATAGAGGCGCGCGTTTGGGCCCTTCCCTTCATTGTTGCGTCTGCTCTTCACCATGAAGCTGGCGCTTGAATTTTGAAGAATAGCTTGATTTTTTTGCTTTAAGGTTAGTAACAAACTTCCAATTCTTTGATTTTGTTGCTTAATTAGCTTCATTTTGATGGCAACATTGCTTGATTCTCATTCTAGTTCTTTCTCCATTCTAGAGAGCACTTTTCCAATTGAACATTTATGTAAGGCTCAAATTATGGTGAATCCATCATCCAAAAGGTTGGTGTCTATGAACACATTTAAATTCCTAGCTAATTATTCCATGGTGGTCAAGATCATTATTGTTAGTATGTGATGCTATAATTAGTTCTTAGAAGTAGAGTAGAATAGTTGTTCTTTATTATTGTGCAATAATTGTTTTTTACTACGATTTTCAATTTACAGGGACGGGGCTACTAATTTTATTTTTCCAACAATTAGTGTACAATAATGTTTTCTAAAAATGGATACTTTTGAGCTATAATTTTTATTCATGAAACTCGATTTCTTATTAATTCTTTATAATTACTGTCTTAGTATTTTTTTTGTGCAAAGATGGATCGAGAGTGGATGCATCTGTCCCCAACAGACAAGCGGTACATGCATGGCGTCAGCCAGTTTATCACCGATGCCAAAGCCCATGCTGGGAATGAGAACCCTGTCTTCTGCCCATGCAAAGATTTTCAAGAATCAAAGGAACTTTCGTTAAATTGAGTCTATATGATCGTACTTGATTACTAGGGGGTTCATGCCAAACTATACGATATGGACTATGCATGACGAGGTTGGTGTAAATGTTCTACAGGAAAACGATGATGATGTGGACTATGCATGGCGAGGTTGATTACCAGGGGGACAATGCAGTAGCAGCGCCTAATGGGAGCGTTTGGAAGAAAAAATTGGTTTTCTGGAAACTTCCTTACTGGCCATTTCTGAGTATACTTCACTGTCTTGATCCCATGCACATCACTAAAAATATGTACGCTAACACTCTTAACACCTTGATGGACACCGGGGGGACATCGAAGGATTCACTAGCCACACGCCTGGACATGCAACACTTGGGAATCAGAAAAGCGCTACATCCCATGGAGCTAGAGAATGGCCAGTTCGAACTTCCGGTTGCGTCATGGATATTGAAGAAGGAAGAAAAGCGTGCGCTTATTTCTTTCTTCAATGAACTCAAAGTCCCGATGGGCTACTGTGCAAACCTGAAGAGGCTAGTGAACATGAGAGAACTCAAGTTCAACTATAGCCCTATGAAGGCCCATGACTATCATGTCATTATGACTCAGCTGCTCCCTGTTGCCTTGCGTGGTATCCTCCGAACAAAGGTGTGCGCCCCAATCATAAAGCTTTGCTCGTTCTTCAATGCGATCTCAAAAAAGGTCATTGATGTGTCCACGCTAGAGCAGCTACAGCGGGACATAGCCGAAACTCTCATTAGGCATGAGATGCATTTCCCGCCGACTTACTTTGATATCTCATTGCATCTGCTCATTCATCTTGTTGACCAAATTAGAGCCATTGGCCCAATATACCTGCATCAGATGTTCCCTTTCGAAAGATTGATGAAAGTTTTCAGGAGGTATGTTAGGAACAGATTCAGGCCAGAAGGGGGCATGGTTGAAGGATGGTCAACGGAGGAGGCCATTGAGTTCTGCACATATTATCTAGACATTAAAAGGGTCGGAGTTCCAGAATCTCATTATGAGGGAAGATTACGTGGCAAAGAAACTATCGGGGAGAAATCTGTTACAGTAGACGACCATGTTTCTTTCAGACAGGCACATTTCGCTGTTCTCTAGCAAGCTGATGGTGTGATGCCATACATTGATGAGCACAGGCAAGCACTGCAAACTCTGTATCCGAGCAGGTCACAGGCTTGGCTGGATAAAAAACATATGGAGGAATTTGTCAACTGGTTGCGACACCTCTTGCTTGGAATAAAGTTGGGTAATTAACTAGATGCCATAGCCAAGGGACCTTCAAGTACATATCTTAAGTACCAAGGGTATGAGATCAATGGATTCACATTTTACACAAAAAACAAGATGGAAAGAGCACATACTAAAATTGTGGTGTTCGTTTTGATGCTCACGATGAAAACGGCAACGTGCAGGCGACATACTATGGTTTCATAGAGGAAATATGGGAGCTAGCCTATGGTCCGTTGAAGGCAGCTCTTTTTCGTTGCCAGTGGGTCCGGCTCGAAGAAATCAACACTGACAGCGAAGGGTTCACTACCGTTGATCTCACTAAGACCGCATACAGAGACGACCCCTTTGTCCTTGCAAGAGATGTTATGCAAGTCTTCTATGCAAGGGACAATAAGACAAAAGAAAGGCTCAAAGTAGTCCTAGAAGGCGAAAGGAAGATTGTCAGTGTCGATGGAGTGACGGACGAAGAAGACTACAGGGGCTATCAGGAAATGCCTCCATTTGGGGCGAACGTACCCCTACCTATCCTTCGAGAGGGTGACGAACCTATTTACGTATGGCTTGATCACAATGAGGCCCTCATTGTTGATGCACCTAAAGATAGTTAGATTATTGTTAACAATGTAATCATTATTCGGACGTTGTTCACCAACTATGTAATCTAATTTATATTTTGTGCGCTTCTCTAAAATTAAATAATTGACTATGTAATCAAATATTGAAATGATGTTCAGAAACACTATTATTTCATAATTATAGACTATTAATTAATTATCATGGAATTAAATAATCAAGACACAAATATTTGTATTATTTTACAAAAAATTATATATATTTACATGCACTAAACGGATAAAACAAAAAACATAACTTAAACTAACGTAATCCTTAATGCTAGCGCAACGGTTAAGGCCCTATAATCTAGACCTCGGATTAATTAATTCCCGTTTAGAGGATAAAACAAAAAAGAAAACGTACCTTGACGTACTCCCTATCATAGCGCAGCGGTAAAAGCCAACTATTGTGAAGGCCGCGCCCTTGGTTCGAATCCTAGGTGCGAGAAACTTTTTTTTATATTTTTACAGAATTAAATGAACCTCAACTTAAACTATAAAAATGATAACAAAACATTTCCTCATGTAAATCCTCCTTTAACGCAGCGGTTAAGCCACTAATCCCTCTTTCTCTCTCCCTCGGTTCGAAACCCAGGCGGGACAATTTTTTTATCCAGAGCCCGCGGCAGTGGCTCTGATTTTAAAAAAAAAAAGCTGAGCGCCTATGGCAGCGGCACTGTTTGTAGAAACTTGATTGAAGAAAAATTTACAGCACACATCTCGAAGGAAGATTGTGTTAGTTTCTTCAATCTCTGTGCCTCGCTGCCTCCATTTTGTTGAAGTCTGAATTCGAAAGGTAAACATAGAATCAGTATGCTACAATAAGAGCCGATGAAATACACAATAAAGATTTAAGGAAGATATAGAAGTACGTCGAAGACAACTCTAAATTAACCATGAAAGAGGCCGCGAACATCTATTATGATGTACAAGGGACGAGAACACCGGCAATGAAGTATGAAAGGAGCAATCTTTTGGTTCCCGATGACGAGTATAAAAATTTGACAACATATATATGCCAGTTGCATGAATATTACATGGCTCAAGCAACAGAGACGGAGGACTTTGGTTTTGAGGTTATTATCCATTCGCCACATGTTGTCGGGGACCAATATTAGGGTACCCAAAGAGAAGGAGCTAGTGACCATCAACGTTGATTCATCCACGCGATCGAGAGCGCGACTACACTGCTTGTCGGGTCACTCCTCGTCCGTCCACCGAGACCATGGGCCCCACCTCAAGCTGACTCCTGAGGGCTAGCTCCGCCTCGCTCGATGTCTGAGGGCAGACTCTGCCTCACCCAACCTTCTTGGGCTGGCTCCGCCTCGCCCGACCCCGGAGTGCTGGCTCCGCCACGCCTGACGTCCGGGGGTTGGCTCCACCTCGCCTGACGTCCGGGGGTTGGCTCCACCTCGCCCGACCCCCGAGGACTGGCTCCGCCTTGCCCAACGTCCGAGGGCTGGCTCCACCTCGCCCGACGTCTGCGCACTGCTCCTTCATAACTACGCACACAGATAAGGCAGGGCACTCAAGTCAACCACAATACCGATGACTGTACCCTGCACACCTGTAGGAAAATACCATCAGGATATGACAAGATGGGCGCTATAAGTCCTTCTAGGCATGTTAGAGCCCGAACAATGTTGTAGGCGCCAACATTTGTTTTACAGTGTTGTGGGCACCGCCATTTGCCCTCGGGCATGGATCCTGACAGAAGCATACGACAACCACTATGGTCCAGGAGGAAACTCACATCATCTACAGTAATGGATGTGCGGTCACTATGTCATTTGCTCCCCATAGGATCGTGGATCAGCACCCTGGTCCGTCGTGCCGCTAGCCGAGGCAGGATGGGACGTGACCACTTGCTGACAAAGCCAAAACATGGCATCGTCAGCGGATAGACGCCCAGCGTGGCACTATCAGGATCAGAGGACATACACCTAGCATGGAGCTATCCCTGGCACCGTCTGCCATGTCAGCGGGGCTCGCTCAGAGGAAAAGGAAGACCCGGCATCTTTGAAGGACCTCCTTTGCCTCTGGTTTTTCTTCTTTCTCCCATCTATAATCCCTACTTCCCCTTGGTATATAAAAGGGAAGGCAGGGCACACACCATGCATCACATCACACATAGCTGAGCAGCAACCAAGCTCTCAGCACCCATTCGACCTTCCCATCAGAGACTTGGGACCTGTCCCTCTCTCGCCTGTTTGTAACCCTATTATGAATTTTTTAGTGCTAATAACATGAGAAGCAGCCACCAACTAGACATAGGGACATTCTGCCCAAACCAGTATAAACCTTGTGTCTTTTTTACCACACCATCCGGGCCAGATGCGCAATAAACAAATTTACTCGTTGGTGTTTACTCGAAACACCGACAGTTGGCGCACCAGGTAGGGGACCTTTGCGCGTTCTGACATTAATAGTAGGCCACGGAATGGCTAGCCACGATATCAGCTGGGTCCCGAGCGCACACGTGCGTTTTGGGGACCTAGACTTCATCATCACAATGGGAGGAGAGTTGGCATTGGCTCACGCCGCTATCCAACCTCTCCCCTCCATCGGCCTCTACTACGGGAGGCTTGAGCGCCAGCTCAGCGTCTCCCTGGGACCCCAACCATCCAGGGAGGACCCACGCCGCCTCACCTTCTCTTACGTCTATGACATGGCACAGCTCACCGGAGGGGAGCCCCTCTCTCCGAAACACCTCATACGGAGCGCACCGACAATGCTTACGTTCGGTCTCCGCAACGTCGCGGTGACTGTTAGCCACCTTGTGGCAAAAGGCATGGTTCCACCTCCCACGAATGACAGATTCGTGGGGGTGATCGAACACATTGCGAAATCTTTCCACAACCTCCTGGCAGAGGAGCCAGAGTCACCCTCTGGCTCTAACTCCAATAGGGGAAGCCATCACCTCTCTCGTGAATGCTTCATGATGGGTACCCCTAAGGGGAACATTGAAAGCATCCATGGGGGTAGGCTACCACAACAAATGACCTCGACGATGATACCAAGAGGGATACAGTGGCCCCGCCCTGCATGTCGGTGGAGCAGCTGAAAAGCCTGACACTAAGAGATCGAGGAAGCGTGACTCTAGCTCGAGCAGGAATGCGTGGAGCTCGATCAGGAGATCGAGCACCATGGAGACGGTACGCGCGCCCGCCCCATGGCCCATGACATGAATTGGAGGGTCATCACCAACAATGATTCCCTCCCTCACTTCGCTCGGGCAAGCCAGAACATCGCCGCCGCCGCCGCGGCCTTGCTCCATGGCCTTCTAGAGGCCGCGACACTCGAGGATCGTTAGGCTCACCGTGAGATTCGCATGCTGCTCGAGCGTGCGGTGGCATAGCAGGCTGAGAGCTCGTTGTCTCAATGACACGAGCTCGATGCTAGCCAGCACATGCTCTCAGAGCGTAATGACAGGGACACGTCGGTCCACCAAGTGCCACGAAGCGGTGGGCAACGCGTCGCGGTCACGGGGCATCAGCGTCTCGGCCACAACCGTGATGCACGCAACACCCTCGATGCTCATAGGCATACCCACGATGATCCGAGAGAGGGAGCTAGCCACAGCTATCACCCTCACCGTGGCGGATGCTACGACAGCGGCGAGGACCGAAGCCTGAGCCCCGGCCTACCGGGGCCTTAGGCCTTCGACCGACACATCCTCAACGTTGCCTTCCCAACAAGGTACCAGCCGCCAACCAACATCCCAAAGTACTCTAGGGAGACAAACCCCGAACTATGGCTCGAGGATTATCAGCTATCCTGCCAAGCCGGTGGTGCGGATAATGATGATTTCATTATCCGCAACCTTCCACTGTTCTTAGCTGATTTGGCATGAACTTGGTTGGAACACCAGCCATCCAACAGAATCCAAAGTTGGGCGGACCTGAAGGAGATCTTCGTGGGGAACTTCCAGGGCACATACAAGCGCCCTGGGAACCCATGGGACCTCAAAAACTGCCGATAGAAGGCCAGTGAGACCCTCTGTGGCTACATCCGATGTTTCTCCCAGCAGTGCAACGAGCTACCTAGCATCACCGATGCCAATGTTATAGGGGCTTTCCTATCTGAAACCACCTGTGAGTCTCTGGTTCACAAGCTAGGACGCAAGGGTCCGCGAACCACCAAGGAACTCCTTGACATCGCCACTAGTCATGCCTCAGGCGAAGAAGCGATCGGAGCGATCTTTGATCATCTTAATGGCAAGGTGAGGTGGGACGAGGACGCTAGCGAAGGCGCCTCCAACCGTCCCTCATGAAATGGTTCTTGTCCGGAGGCTCCAACAAAGGGGAGCATGGGAAGGACCCCGACCCTACCACGGATGATGCCGAGGGGAAGGAGGACGGCTTTCCAACACTAGATGGCTTACGACTCCAAGCGTAGCTAGAAGATCGCACGCCGCGAGGTCTATGCGACCAAACTGGCCACGCCTGCCTTCCTCCGGTGGTCAGAGTCCGCTATAACCTTCGATCGGACCGATCACTCAGAGAGCATCCCGTAGCCAGGGAGATACCCGCTCATGGTCGACCCAACAGTTGGCACAAAGCGGCTCACCAAAGTACTGATGGATGGAGGCAGTGGCCTCAACATCATGTACGCCGAGATGCTCGACGCTATGGGCATTGACCGAGCGTGCATCTGACCAACCAGAGCACCCTTTCATGGCATTGTGCCTGGAAAGCAGGCCATGTCGCTTGGGCAGATCGATCTACCCATCACCTTTGGGGTCCGTCCAACTACAGGATGGAGACCCTCGCTTTTGAAGTGGTGGGGTTCCACGGAACTTACCACGTCATCCTGGGATGACCGTGCTATGCGAAGTTCATGGCCATCCCCAACTACACCTACCTCAAGCTACAGATACCTAGTCCAGGCTGGGTTATCACCGTTGGCACATCCTTTCAGCGTGCCTACGAGTGCGAAGTCGAGTGCTGCAATCACGCCACAACGATCGTAGCATTTGGAGAGCTCGCGGCCATCAGAAAAGAGGTCACCGAAGAAGCGCCTGACCCCAAAAGGTCGACCAGGTCCTTTGAGCCAGCAGAAGGCTCTAAGGAAGTCCTCATAGATCCTGGGAGCACCGAGGGAAAAATGTTGCGCATTGGTACCACGCTTTCCTCTGAATAGGAAAGCACGCTCGTCGGCTTCCTCCGCGCCAATAGAGACATCTTCATGTGGAAACCCTCGGACATGCCAGGCATTCCCGAGGGAAGTCGTCGAGCATGCCTTGAAAATCCGCCAAGGCTTCAAGCTGGTGAAACAACGCCTGCATCGCTTCGACGAGGGGAAACGCTGGACCATCAGTGAGGAAATTGCAAAGCTTCTGGCGGTCGGATTCATCAAGGAAGTGTACCACCCAGAATGGTTAGCCAATCCCATTCTTGTACGAAAGAAGAGTAGGAAATGGAGGATGTGTGTTGA